TGTACAATATTTAAATCGCCTGAATAAGAATCGCAACGTTCAACTTTTAAATCAGGTAAATACGAAAATCGAGATTTGATAATAAAATCGCGATTTTAAAAATGCATAAATACAAAATACGATATTGGATTTTTAAATGTCGTAAATAAGAATCATAATACATGATATTTAAATAGCGTAAATAAGAATCGCAATGTGCAACTTTTAAATCAGGTAAATACGAAAATCGATGATTGATATAAAATCACGTGAATAAAAATCGAGATATTTGCAGAGTCTGGACTTGTGATTTCTAAAAGGCTTGTTTGTATTGTTTTTGTTTAGACATAATAAATAAAAATTTACAAGATTAATTAAGTGAGCAAATAAATATTTTCACCGCAAATCCACCTCTATTTTTTTTCCTTTTTTTTTTGTTTGTTTTTACGCCAGAATACAAGAAGCAGCGACGTCTGAATTACGAAAATACGAGCTATCCAGCCGACGGATAAAAATTACGGAAAATCTTATTTTCTGTGTGCGAAATCGGAGAAAATAGCTAAAATAAGTAAAAATGCGGGAGGGTTAGCATTTTCTGTTTATCTTCGAAAATCGTAAATAAATATAATTATTTTACTTCAATGACTGAATTTTAAAAAAAAACGGGATATTTATTAAAAAAAACGAAACAAAAATCGGAGTTTTTGATAAAAAGGCTGAAATCGAGAGACAAAAAAAATCTCATTCCTGTATAAAGGTCAACCAGTTTTATCAGGAAATGATTTTTAGAGAAACTTCAGAGGGAGGAAAAGGGACTTCAATAATTTCCCTCCGCGGAAAATTAAATTCCTCATAAAACATTTTAACTTGGGCAAAAAAAATTTCAGCGGAAATTAGCGGGAAAAATGGAAAAATCTGAAAAAAAAGCGGAAATCCGCAAATCCGCGGAAGAATCTCATCCCTGTATATAAATCACGTTGTGAGATTTTTAATTATTGTGATTAAAAATATCGATGAGTGATTTTTAAATCGTACGAAATCTGATCATATTGTGTTATTCTTTAAATTGCACAAATGCGGATCAGGGTGTGAGATTTTTAAATCACGTGAATGCAAATCAAGATGTATGATTTTTTAAATCATCCGAACAGGGATCTCACTAGGTGATTTTTAAATCCCACTAATACGGATTAAGCTGTGTAATTTTTTTAAAATTGCACGAATGCGGTTCCTGATAAATTTCAATAATTCTTAAATTGCACAAATGAATCTCGTTGTAGCAATTTTTAAATTGCATGAATATGGATCACATTGGGTGATTTTAAATTCATGCGAATAGTGATAAGTAATTTTTAAATCTCACAGATATAAATAACAATGCATAATTTTTTAAACCGCATGAATTCGAATTGCAAGGTGTGACTTTTAAAATCGGACAAATATAAATTACGATGTGATTTTTTAAACCACACAAATGCGGATCCAGATGTGTGGTTTTTAAATTGCACAAACATGGATCGCGCTAAGTAATTTTCAAACCACGTGAATACAAATCGCAATGTGCAATTTTTTAAATGACACAAATACAAATCATGATAAGATTTTTAAAAATAATGAAAATGCAGATTGTGATAAGGGATTTCTAAATCACGTGAATATAGATCACGCTGTGTAATTTTTTAAAATCCCATGAATATGGATCGGGCAGCGTATTTTTTAAATCATGTGAATACATTGCATGCATCTTATATCTATGTATCCCGCTCGCGAAATATCAAATGACACGCTTCTTCTGACTACTCTTTGAAAGCAACAAAAATAATTTTTAAAAAATTCAGAAATCTTTACGTGTTATCAGCTTGAAAATAATAAAAGTAAATTACATTAGTTAGTGAACAATAAATTATTTAGACGGAAAGAAATAATGTAACATTTACTTTAAATAAATAATTATGTAAGAGTTTGATCATATCAAACTACCAAAGAAATGATTTTTTTAAAACAAGTATCATGAATAAATTACCTTCATTTATCATTTTATATGCTTTAATAAAACTGTATACAGTAAACACTTGCGATATAAAATATTTAATACAAAAAAAAAAAAAAAAAATATGTGAAACTAATGCCAAAAATTTAACATTTTTTTAAAATACCAAAAGAAAATATTATATATATAAAATTAGTAAAATTATTTCACACGTATGAGGTAGGTAGGAATTCCAATTCAGTTCACCTCATTGGAAGGCGAACGCTCTATCCCCTGAGCCACCACGACTCAACTACATAGTCGTTGCAATTAATTGTCTAAGCATAATCAATAAACAATCACACATACCTTTTCCATTTGTAATTTGTTTCTTTCATCTCCACAAGCATTGCTCTTTCAGATCTGATCTCCATTGCAGCATATTCTTGCTGGCTTTTTCCCAACGAAGCCACAAGTTTTTGGCGCAGAGTCTTCACCGTTTCATAGATAAAAGTAAATATTGCCACACATATACACAATCCAACCATTCCTTAAAAAGAAACCAAATTGATTACATTTACAACTAAAAATATTTTTAGGTACTTATCGGTTATAGGGATTTATCGGTTATCAGTTAGTAGTGATGGTGGCACTTATTCATTTATCGAATGAAGGCAATAAAGACGTCAATGCAAAGTCACCAGGTACAAGTAAAAAAATTTTTTTTTCTTTTACAATGTTTATTATCCTTTTAAAATTTTTTTTAGACGATTGCTACTTTTTAAAATATAAATAAATAAAACAGCTGAATTTATTTGCGCTGGCAAAATAGATGCCTCCAACATGACGTACTATAAAAAATATTGATATTCAATAATATATTGTGATATTTTTCTAATTTAAATTATTTTTACATTGGTAAAAGTTTTGGTACAAAAATAAAACCAATGAACACTCACACATATCATGTTTAATAATTATCATTGCGTAATATTTAGATTATTATTTTTGGGATAAGTTACCTCATCAGTAATAATCATGATATTATCCTATTAAATAATTATAGTTATCAATAATTATAATGAGATTATCATATTCCTCACACATTGTTGTCTCTAATTATAACATTATTCTTTTATGTCATGCAACTAGGCATATTATCTGCAGCCAGTACCCATGTGTTGGCTATGTTCTCATACATTGGCAAACTTGGCTACTTATCCCTATAGGTAATAAGTACCATTGTTTAGTTATTTATGTCATTTGTTCATAAAAAATCATATCATGCCCACATCAGAGATCGAGCCGGTTTCCTGAAAGTGTCAACTGTTGCTAAGTTACTATTTAGTTTAAGGAAACCATAAAAAATTCCATAGCCAAAGTAACAAAATGGTATATTTACTGTAAACAAAATTTAATATTAAAGAACTAGGTATTTAGATTCTTGCTACCTTTTTTTAAAATCAAACAACCCAAATCTTATCATAAACTAATAAATATTAAACACAAAATTTCAGATGACTTCTTTATTAGAAACAGAGAGAACTTTTCCTATAATAATAACAAGGATTATTAGGGATTATTTCTGTAACCCAATGCAAGGAAAATAAATGCTTAGTCTAGGTGACTGCTTAACAGTGGCTCGCAAGAAACTTAAAAAAAAAAAAAAAAAAAAAAGAAGCCCAAAATACTAGNAAAAAAAAAAAAAAAAAAAAAAAAACAGACACAGAAAATGACTAACTTGAAAGGTAACCTCTATACTTTATATCTAAGAAAAGATTTATAAAACTAGCTAAAAATAGGCTTTTTGTTAATAGCAATTTGACTATTAAAAATAAACATATTCAAAAATTAATTTATTCAATTTCTTATCTGACATTTAAAAAAAAATAAAAATCTAGCTAATATAGATATACGAGCAATAGCCTTTGTTCGTAATAAAAATTCTAAGCATTGCTTAACAAGGATTATTTGTAATAATAATATCTACACATTTTATGCAAGACTTCAAAGAGAATAAACAAAAATTTAAATAGCTATTTGCTATAGATATATTATCAATAAAGCTATGTTTTAACAATATTTAAGCTATGAGTTATATATAACTCGTAGCCAGCCTCAGACTAACTTTTACATATTATTTTTTAAAAATTTGAATGCAAAATTTCCATTTGATTGCTTGGTGATAGTAGATGGCATAACAGATTTAGATACAGAAATATCCCCAACGGAATTTTCTTTAAAGATCAAAAAAAAAAAAAAAAAAGAAATTACGTAAAATAATCTTAATACATTTGATATTCAGTCATAAAGTTGCTCAAATATAGCTTTTTCAACAAAAAAGCAAAATATATAGCAGATAACCATTTAAATTATCGCTAATTTCCCTGGAAGTCTTCCATAAAATGCATAGATATTATCATTGCAATGATCAGAATTTTTATTATGAACGCAGACAAATGCTTATATTTATAATTGCAGAATTTTTTTCCAAATGTGAGATAAGAAACTGAATAAATTAATTTTTTAATCTCTTCCCTTTTTGGTATTAAAATTGCTATTAGCAAAGAAGCTATTTTTAACAAGTTTTATAAATCTTCATGGATTATTTAGATCTTTCATAACATCCAACGAAAATACTAGACAGATAGGTAACGAGACAGATATAATAAATAAACAGCGAGAATAAGTAGAATTTGTGTTAAGTACTCACCACTAACTGATTCTATCGTTAAACCCTTAAACAACAGATCTTCTACATGAAAATCGAATTCTAAATAAGATTTATGCATATTGGAGGATAGAAGGAAATGCAAGTTATTAAAAATTTAATTCATTTAATATTTCAAAAATAAAGTTTTGCATAAAATGCAAATTTCACGTGAAATTATAATGAATATGACTATTTTATCATCACATTTTCATATGACGGAGTAAAACTAACAAACGCATTTCCCCATTAATTCAAATCTAAACTAATGAGCAAACATTTCATGCTCTGATTCCGTAAAGTGTAGTTGACAGCTGGTACGGCGTATATAAGAGACAACTGTTTACACATCAAATGTTAAATCAAAAACTTTTAAAATAACGAAAAGGAAACCATTCAGAGGGTGCTTTCTAAAACTCAATGTGTTCCGTAACATCTAAAAGTCGAGACAAAGTTTGGTTCGTAAAATAAAAGATATGAATAAACTTTTAAAAACGGAAAAGTTGGGAAGATTTAGTACGGATCATTGCTTGACTTCTTGAAAAACAGTAAGTTAAGAAAACACAAACGGTTACGATGCACATTAAATATTTTTGCATTTATCAAAGTTTTAAATATTTCAATAATCAATAATTTACTAGCCTCGCACTATGTTGTTTTATTTATAATTTCACTGAAAATATGTTTTAATTTTTCTGATTTTTTTACAAATGTAATTCATTATTTTTCGTTTTTATTTGGAATGGCAATGCATAAAGTCAGTCGGTGTTTTTAGCAAATTCTGCGTTTAAAAGCTTAAAAGTTTAATCAGTTTACGTTTGTAAAATATTAAAAAGTTCTATTGATGACAATAGATTTAAGTAAACATTGAAGTTTAAATCATTTATAGCGTTTCAGTCACACCATCAAATGTAAAAGCGAGTTACTGAGTGAATGAAGTGTTTGTTTTTTTCTGACTTATCATCCAAATTTTTCAATTTTCTAAATCATTTCCTCACTATTATGTCCAGTTTATGCTTTATATAATACGTCGATTTATCTCTGTAGCCTCTAATTCTATTAATTTAGTTTCAAAATTATCGAATAAAATGCCAGGTTCACCTGCTTATGAATGTATTGCTGAGATTTTAACTGATGGAGGAGCTAAGTTATCAAAATACAAGTCACATAGAAGTGGGATGACTATATGCATCGCCCAAACTGATGGACCCTTAGTTGGTGGCTATTTGTGTCTTGGTAACAAATTGTCATTTTTTCTTTATATTTATTATTAACTTGCCAACATGCGTGCAATATGAAATATTAGGGTGTGCCGAAAAAGTCGAAATATTAACGAATATTAGTCGAATCTATTGGCGGTAGGGTGGAAAATTGACCACTCTCATCAATAAGAAATATGCGAAATCCTATTATGCGTTGATGTTTTCAGCAGTCTCAGTGGATCATATGTCGAGAAAATTGGACCAAAAACGCTGGAAAGTTAAAATTATGCAAATATTTATGATTTCATTGATCGATAGTGATCACGAGTCACCATTTCTGAACAATATATGTACAGATTTTTTAGCATTATAAGATAATATCTTCGACTTGAGTGACATTTTCTTCCGCATGTTCACTTGCACTGAAAAAAGTTTTCTAGTTTTGTTGACAACAGGGCAGATCCATGTAATAAAAGAGGATATTTCCAAATTGACAACTATGATTATTGATTAACTATGCTAAGTAACTAGACAAGGCTATGAAAAGATTTAACACTTAAATTAAGTGAAGTTTAACTTAAGAAATTAAATTTTTTTTTTATTGCTTTTGCTTTTTTGATGTTGCAAACTGGTCCCTACCTGTTTTTTTATTTTTTCGAACCCCATCTGGAGATTGCTAAAATTTGGCGTTTATTTTGCTGCAGGATCCAATCTAGAATTCTTAATAACATCACAGAAAAAGAGCAACTCAAGGGGTATAACTCTTTGCCAACCCTGGGTAACTATCCACATATTTTTTTAGAATAAAATTTTTTTTCCTCTTTGCATTTCTAAATTGCAAGAACTGGTGCTGAAATATAACCAGAGTTCTCCCTATGTTTAAAAACAGGCTAGGCATTTCCTTACAGAAATGGACACTTTCAGTTTTATCAGTTCACTTATCATGGTATAAATTTATTAAAATGTTTAATATTTTGTAATTACTGAATTTAATCCTAAACAACTTTCGAATTACCCTCTTATACTATTTTATGTTTGTATTTCAAAGAGTAATTCTCACTCATTATTTCAATAAGAGAAAAATTTGTACTCATATTTTTATTTGAAAATTAAAAATTTCTTTTTTATAATTTTCTTCAATTTTTTAAAAATGACAGCCTATTTCGGCTCATATAGGCGACAGAAGATATCAATTATCAGTAATAAAATTTTGTTAAAAGGGTAGTAGATAGCTTTTATGTACTGCATCTTAAAGATTTAAAATAGTTTGAATTTTTTGATCTTCTCTAAATAAAGTAAGTACTTGTTGTGTATGATGCTGTTTCTCATAAAATTTTAATCTTAAGAGACTAAATCCATGTTTTAAGTAGAAAAATAATTGAGGATGTTGCCAAATGTTATTTTTTTTTCTTCCTCTTAAATATTTCTATTTTGTGTGATCAGTATGCATATGTGTTGAGATGTATTTGTTTATCTTTGTAGCAACCGAAGCTCACGATGATGATGGTCTGCCTCATACTTTAGAACATTTAGTGTTTTTGGGAAGTGAAAAATACCCATTTAAAGTAAATACTTTAATTTTATTTTGGCATTATTTTGAATTGTGTTACATATCATTTTAAAGTGGCTACAAGTTTTACCTTTTAAGTTTGCTCATTTTTAAAAATTTTAATTTTTGTATTCCTTTGTTTGGTTTCCTCAAACATTTAACAACCATTCTAGCATATAGAAATCTTCCTTACATTTTTCTAACCACACTGCTAAATGATTTCTCTTAGATACGATGTTGCAATATTATATTGATATCTGTTTGTGTCTATTGATATCTGTCACACGAGCAACTGATGGTGCAACCTGATTTTAGCATTTTAATATAAAATCAAGAATTCCTCATTTTGATGTGTTTTTCTCTTCAAGTTACTTTTTAAATCTACATGTGACATAATTTTATTGATTGCATTTTTCACTATTAATTGTGATAAGTTTCTACATGGTTTTTGGATTTAAATTTTTATATAATAAAATTTCTTACAGTTTTAATCCATTGTTCTAGTTCAGAAATTTCAGTCATGTAATTTGCTAATTTTTTTTATTAAATTGTTAAATATTAATTACTATATCAAGTTTTTACAATAATAAAATGGATACATTTTATTTAGGGTGTTTTAGACTTGCTAGCTTCCCGTTGCTTGTCACAAGGTACAAATGCCTGGACAGATACCGACCATACATGCTACACTCTAACTACAGCTGGTGATGAAGGTTTTCTTAAGCTTCTCCCTATCTACTTGGACCACCTCCTTTATCCGACATTAACTGTATGTTAGCTTTTTTTTAGTGATGTTTTCAGATTATTACACTTTGTCTGTGAATAGTTATGATCAGGGTTGGCAGGTTTTTGACACGTGACAGTTTTTGACGGTTTAAACCATGGTTTAAACCGTCACGTCAAAAACCTCACTGTCAAAAATGTCGAAAATGTCAAAAACCTATATTCATATGTGAAATTTAATTAATACATGAAATTTATATATTTTTTATAAAGGGATAGTGTTTCTAAATATGTTCTAGAAAAAATATATTTAAAATTTTGAAGAAACACTTATATTTTGAATAGTATCCAAAATCTTGTACTTTTGAAAGCTCACATCTTTTGTAATATTATGTATTCATTTTCATGTGTTATTGAAAATCTGCAGTGATATTATTAAGAAATTTATTTATAACCAAATTTAGTGTATAGTATAGATTATACTAAAAATTAGACATTTTTAAAGATAAACATTAGCAGTTTTGTACATTAGACATCTTTTAAAGAAAAATCTTTTTAATATTCTTTTAAATCTTCTTAATAATCTTTTTAACATAAGACAATACAAATTTAAGTGCTTTCTGTTAAATACACAGAGTAGTTAGTGTCGATTTACAGTATATTCAGCCTATTCATTTACTATGCTGAAAATTTAGTTTATCCAAATACTTGTGAATTTCATTTTGCTGAATACTATATAGTTTTGTTGAATATCTAAATATTCAGCTGTTGAATAATTACTTCTTGCTTTCAAGATATGCATTATTTGTATTCTTAATACAAGTGGAGAAAAAAAAATTAAGAGATAAAAATTGTTTTAAAATGATAAGTGTAATAATTATAAATAAATATAATAAACAATATGAATTATATTTATCATTATTCACAAATATAACTACTTTTAAATTCAAATTAACATACTGGATAATAAAGATATTCGGTATAACATTAAAAAAAAATTTTTATACACTTGTATCAAGTTTGTATTTATACAACATAACTTGTAAGTTCCTTATAAATATTAGTTATATGTTCCTTATATGTCAAAAATGCATAGTAATAAACTTTTAATTTTCTTAAGTATCAAAAAAAAAAATTTTTTTTTTAAAAATATAAATATTTAAAAATATTTTGTGCAAAATTTTTCTGCACATGCATTTGAATATAAATTTCTGAGATTTTAAATCTGTTATTTTACCTTAATTTTAATTAAAAAATATTTTAAAACCTGCTGATTACCTATAGTATAATTAAATTTCAATATAATGCATGGCAACTGTTGGTAGTTATGAAGTATACATATTTTCTTGGTAAACTCCAGTTTTTGACATTTTTGACAGGTTTTTGACGGTTTAAACCAGTATTATACCCTTGTCATGTCAAAAACCACTTTTTGACGTCAAAAACCACTTTTTGACGTCAAAAACCCAACCCTGGTTATGATTAATACTTTTAAATAATTAGATGGACCTAACCTCAACTTTTTTAGATGCAATTTTGTAACCTTTCTGAGTTTTTTTAAAAAAAAAAAAACCAACACTTTTCTTTATGGCATTAGAAAGTTTTAACCCTTACCTTGACATTCTATTTGACGAAGGTGAAAAAATTTATTAACTTTCTTTTCTAAAAACTTTTTTTTTTAAATAAAATTTTCTATGTTATGGGGCAAAGTAATCTAACTTCGCCTCCTATCTTATATGATTTAGTTGTAGATGGTATACTTTTTTGTAATAGGTTTACTCAAAGCCAAGTAATTTTTTTCTTTATAACGCTATAAAAATGTTAAAAAAAGGTAATCATATAAAGGGTTATATTTCTCATTTGATAGAAATCGGAGCTACGATTAAGTTTCAGAAAGTTGTTTGGAACTCATTTGGAAAGTTATAATATCTATTTAAAATAAGTTGTTTTTTCATACAACTATTAAAAGTTATGAAATTTTGTTGTTTTCAATAAATATGTGATAATTTTTTCTTCTTTATAAGCAATTCAAGGAAAAACTGTTTGATAGAAATGGGAAAATAAAATGATCTTATCCTTTCCCCTTCTAACAAGATATTCTGACACTTAATCTTTTTGATTTATAGAAAAGCAAAAGAACATAAAACTCAAATATGGCATGGTGTGAGCAAAGGATGTTAAAAGGGTAATTAGGGCTAGTTCCAAGTAAATTTTATCATTTTATAAAACTTCAAACGAAGTATAAAACATCAGTTTTTGTAATTTTTAATTTAGTACCTTTATCTATGCGTTACTTTTTGTTTGTGTTTACTATGTTTACTATTAAATACAAACAGAAAGGCTGCAAAATTGTGTTTACTATAGTAAACTCGTGCATAATTTTATTAAGTCTGTATGTCGCATTAAGTACTATATATACTTTAAAATTAAGCTGATAATAATGCATATTTCTTATGAAAAGTGCTGTAAAAATTAAGTTGTTTTTATATCATTCCATCTGAAACACCAGAGCTTTATGATATTTAAGAGAAAAGCTGATTGAATAATGTAGTTTTTTGAGTTTTTATTGACTGTAATTTAGCAATGATTTTTAACTTTATATCTTATTTTAGGATGCAGGCTACGTTACAGAGGTTCACCATATTAATGGCTTAGGCGAAGATGCAGGGGTCGTTTACAATGAAATGCAAACTAGGGAAAACTCTGGTGAAAGTCGTTGTCATTTGGCCATGCTAAGGTCAATGTATCCTGGCCATTGTGGATATAAATCAGAGACTGGAGGACTTGTAAAAAATTTACGAGAAAGCACATCCAATGAAAAAGTAAGTAAAGTACACAGATAATATGTTTACATCCTTGATTTTTTTAATTCTTGTCACTTCTTCTAAAAAAGTTTTATCATTTTCTGTTTTTCTAATACAATGTATCAAAGCTGCAGACCAAAAAGTGCTTCTGTTGTGGCTGTTAACTTATTACTTGCTTGAAAATTTAAATTACTACTAAATTATGTAACTCACATAAAATAGAATTTAAAAAAAAAAAAAATAGTTTTTGTAATTATTAGTTCATTTTTTAAAAAAGAAATATATAATAATGAAAAATTTATGTATTGATATTTTATTTGAAAAGATGTTATAACTTTTTAAATTAAATAATTTTTATTCAAAATTATGAATTTAAAAATGTAATCAATGGATGAAAAAAAATTCCACACTCAGATCTTTCACTCATAACAAGTGCAGTCAAATGGAAAATGTAGTTAAACATGCTATGTTTTTATCTTTATTAATTAGGAAATTTCCTAAAATTTTATGTGTGAAGAATTTTTTATATGTTCAGTTATTTGTATAAAATATTTTATGATTTCTTAGAATGTATTAGATTTCTTTTCGATTTCCTATGAGTAGTTATGTATAGTCAGTGCCCAATATAGCAACTCTTCTCACCTGGGTGAAAATGAATGTTATAACATGAGGTTATATCGTAGAGACACAAAAATAATGGAACTTATAGCTAAAAGAAATTCTTTATCACTTTTAATAAAGCAATGCTTTACTTCAAAAGGTTAAAAATGTGTGGGAGAATAGGGAAAACCTGGAAAATACAGGGAATTTAAAAATCACCTAAAATAACAGGGAAAATGCAGGAAATTTTGATCTTTTCTTTATAAACTGGGAAAATATGGGGAAATTCGTTTCTTATTTGGTCTCAGCATTTTAATTTGCACGTTAAATCTATTTACTAATATTATTTAAACTATTTATTAATATTATTAAAATATGGTTACCACTCAAAGCCTAATCTATGAGATATTTAAGGATAATATTTCAGCTATACTAAACTATTTAATTCACTTTAGCATTATTTAAGTAGGTTCAGCTGTTCCTTTTTTCTCTTAAGTTTTTCCAGCAACTAAAACTCGTATAGTTAGCCCAACATAGCTCATACATGAGTGCAGTAATAATGTTTCCTCCTAATATCTTATGTAAAACAGGGAAAACATATTGACCCTGTGTGAGTATGGGGCTGCCAGTTTTGATAAATAACATATACTAAGATAACTCAAAAATCACATGTTTCAACTCTAAAATAAACCACACAAGGGGACTGATACTTCACTAAAGAGTGAATGCAATTTTCGAAGAACAAAGTATGATTGATTAATTTTTTGTATTCTTTGAGTAGAAATATAAACAGATTAAGAATGACCATAAATTATGAAGATGTAGAATAGGAAATGAGAATTTAAGGGGTCATTTCACTCTTCTTTCATTTGATGGAGGATACAAGGTGCCTTACATTTATTTTGTGGCAATATTAAAGGAAATAATGGTTTAAATAATTTTTTAAAAGACTATTTAAAAATCAAATGACTGAATTTCAGTCACTATATTGGAATAAATGGATTAACTTGGTCATTCTACTAGGCGTCAAAATAGCATTGCGTTTGTGGAATAGCAAATGAGATTTCATGCTTCGGTCGTTGGAATGGAAAATTCACTGTGATTGGCATCAAACTAAAGAGCATAGACTGCATTTGTTTACTTTAGGTATAAGTTTATATTGATAGATTAAGAACGAGCAATAGAAAAATCACCTAATTTTTTTTTAAATTAGATATTTAATATTAATTATAAAATAATGCACTTGAAAGCATTTAATTTTTCATAATTTTCTTAAAATATTAATTGAGATTCAGTTAATTGTTGTTGTAGTTCTTAAACATCATTCATTACTATCTTTGCAGGTTCGCCAATACCATAAAGATTTTTACCGCCCTGAAAATTTGTCTGTTATAATAGTAGGACAAATTGATGCAGATAAAGTATTCCAGGCATTAGAACCAGTGGAGGAAAGAATTATGAAAGATGTAATTAGCTTCACTATCCGTTTATTTGTTTTTGGTCGAATAGACATTTAACACAGTTTTAATGTTTTTGTCAGGGAAAAAGAGAACCATTTGTCAGACCATGGCAAACACCTGTTCCTCCATTGGCTGAATCTGTTTCACTTGAAGTTGAGTATCCAACTGAAGAGGATGATCATGGCTTGTTGATTGCAGCTTGGAGAGGGCCATTAGCTACTGTAAGATTTATTTTAATATTTCTCCTACTATTAAAATATTATTGAAGTTTTTCTTTATTACTACTAACTAGAGTAGCAATTCAGATTTTTTTTTTTTTTTACGATGGAACCCTAATTGATTGAACTTCTTTTGGCGGAACCTTGACTTTAAAATAAAGTTCATTAGCTGGTATGAATATGACAAAAAAAAAAAAAAAGACTTAGAATCATTTGATGGGAAAAATGAGCAGTCTTAAAATTGTGTTTTATGTGTGGCATGCGGTTGAATATGCTTGACTGATGCAACTTTTGGTGTAATTGATGAAGCATAATTTAACTTAAAAATAAGTTCGAATGTTGTTTTTGAAAAAAGAACTGCTATAAGCAGTGAGAATAGTTATCAGGGAAAAATAATTCTTTATACTTGATTTGGGTTTATATGAATTTGAATTTTTTTTAAAAGTTCGATGAGGAATATTGATGTAATTATTTGCAAATGTCTATCATTTTAGTAATTTATTCTTAATGGAAATTGTTATTGGAATTTTTATATTTTTTTTTTTAAATTTTACCATTTCTTTTTATTGGCATTTTACATGAATAATTTAAAAAAGATAACCTAAAACTAAATATTTGATTATTGAAAGAAAAGTCCTAAATCTCAAAACCCCTGTGATTGTTTAATGGAACCCTGGAGTTCCGCAGAGCACCTTTTGGGAACCACTGAACTACAAGTCACAATAGTTTTCTAGATAGTTTTAAGCAAAATAAATTTTTCTATTCTTTTAATACTAGCGTTGTATAGTCAAATGGAATTTTGAACCCTGTTCAGCAGATGAGGTAATAACCGTGTTGTCAGACTAACCATGAGAACCTCGAGCTTTCCATGGTTAGTCTGACAACAAAGGTACTCTAACTAAAGATTTATTTGCCAGTAGGGATATTGTTGCACTGTGGTTGGTGCCACCCCACAGCAGCTTGCAAATTAATCGACCATAGCCTGAATTTGAATCTGGGTCGCCTCACTGGGAGTTGAACGCTCTACTTCGCTATATTATTTCCCAAAAGAACTTTTATTAAAATTTTGACTGATTTTCGACTAGTTAGAATGCTTAAATTTTGCTTTTCAAGTAGCTAGATCAATAAATTTCAATTGTTACTTTGTGCCTGAGGCCAATAAATGATTCATTCTATTTTTAAACCATGCAATTTTTTTTTATGTTCGATTAAAATTCTTATTGAGCAAGTTAATAAGTTTTATATATATTAGTATATAGTTTTATATATATATGAGTATTATAATTATAATTCTTATTAAGCAAGTTAATGTGTTTTCGATGCAGACTGAAAAAGGAAATTTTCTAGTCTAATTTTTCTAATTTTTTTTCTAGTCAGCTCTAAAATAAAAAGTGGTCAGCTTATCACTTCAATAATAAATTTGTGTCTTTAAAAATTTTCCTCTTGTCTTATGAAAGTACAATACCTTACATTTGTAATTTAGGTCTCACAAAAATATAATAATTTTCTTTTCTTTTTTAAAAAATGGAGTTTTTAAAATTTTTTGAAATTTTATTATTTTTTGAAAGTTGTTCTCTGTTTTGATTGTTGTTAGATAATTTAGAGTTTAATAAATGCCTTCCTATTAAATTTTAATACTTATTTAGCAAAAATATAAAGTTGTTTTTACATTTTATTTCTTTAAATAACAATTATTTTTTTCATAATGTTTTAACAACTGTAAACTTATGGATTTGAAAATAATTTCTAAACGAATTTTCTCTTAATTTTCTTAGGATTATTCAAGTTTAGTGTCAATGCAACTTTTGATGGACTACTTTACTGATACCTCAGTATCTCCTCTCAATCGTGACCTGGTTGAGATAGATGATGCATATTGCAATCAGGTATGTAATGAATTAATTATTACAGTTTAGTGCTTCTTTAAGACTTCTTGAAATAATAAATGAAAATATGCATTGAATATTTTGTTAAAGTATTTGTTTTGTTGTCTACAATTTCAGAAGATTTTATCAACAATTTCAAAATGGCAGCCCACTGTTTTAACTATTGCGCCATAGTGTCTCATTATTACATTTTATGTTCTGTTATGTTTGTTATTAAAATTTGTCAGTTTTATGTTTTACGAGTTATTTTATTCTCTGTTACTTTATGAATGACTCTTTAAACCAGCGGCTCCCAAATGGTGTTCCGTAAAATGGTAGGATCCTGTAGAAGAATTAAAAGGGTTCCAAGAATTAGAACATTATCTTTAATCAGTGATTTTTTAAAATTATATTTATATCTAATGTATAATTCACTATCTTTTGATACTTTGATTGTCTTAATGGAGTTATTTAAAGTAAATGCAAAGTGAAAAATGAGAAAAAAGAAAGGCAATATATATATTTAGCACAATAAGGACAAAGAGGATAAAAAGAAAACTAAGAAAATTAATGAGTTTTTTTTTTAAATTTTTATAAATGAAGATAAAACAAAGGAAAATTACAGACATATGAAGAAAATGGGGGAAAGAAAAGTAATAATGAAAAAATAACAAACAACTGGGGAAAAAAAGGATAAAATTTTCTTAAAAAAACCGGAAAATAAAAGATATAATCTTTTTATCAGCCCACACGATTATATCCACAAAAAAGAGTGCTTTCTGATATTGTATCAATATAGCCAAAGCAAAATATATGAATACAATAGTGTGAGGAGCACTAAAAAATTATTGTTTTTCTTAATTTTCTTCGTGTTTTTTTATATTTATTTATTTTGCTCTCTCTCTGTATATAATTTCTCTAATAACAGTATTTTGAATAAAGAGTAAAGAGAACATACATGTATGAAAAATTTTCCATCAAGTTTTTTCAAATCAAAATAAAATATCTTAATTCATTACTAAAATATATGTCCCTAATCACTTTTTGAAATGTTTCGAACAGTTTTTTTAGTTTTCATTTTTTAATGGAGCTATAGTTTGTTGTATTTGTATCTGTTTCATCAGCTCATGTATATAAACCAAAAACAAATTCTAAAGTTAACTAGAAATGACTTCAAGAGTAGGAATTCAACTTGACAATATTTATTATTTTTTGCATAATGAGGATTAAAAAATATATAAATATTTTTCAGAATATTCTGATGAAATAAAACTTTTTTTAAGTATATTTGTTTTTCTTTATTTTTAATTTTACAATTATTTTTTGAGTTTGATTTGTGAAGAAGTTTATTTCTTTACAAAATTTAATTTAGGTTGATTATACTGTGATCGAGAATCAAGTCTCTTGTATATATCTTCATTTTTCAAATGTTCCTGTTGACAAATTAAAGGATATTCAAGATAAGTAAGTGTAATTTTAAGTTTCCTAAATGTTAATTTATGTAAGTGTTTTAGAAATTTGTTTCATTTTCTGTAAAGCTATAACATTTTTGTAAAATGTTTTTTTTTTAATGTGATGATGAAAATTTTAGATATCTCAAATATTTATTTTATTAATGACGCTAATTTTTTAAAAAATTAATCAGGGTGGTAACAGAATGGGATAATAAGGGAGAACAGGATAAAATCAGGAAGTTATATCAATCAGGAAAATGCTTATGTCAGGATCCTGATTCCCCTTCCACGCATTGGATTGACCCCTTGACCTGCGGATCAGAGGGTGAAGGACACTGGAGGTGTCGTCCCCTACCTTGGGGGTGGAGCAAATGACTGTTTCTGAGGAGAAAGAGGATTTTTTTACACTAGATTCGTTTTGAACGCCGAAGAGAGAGGTGTAATTGAACGATGATAGATTTAGTATGAACAAAAAGAAAGGGAGCAGTTGCGCTCCAAAAACATTATACTCAACAGCTCATGTATCTATTTGTAACTTTTCTGTAAATAATTCTATAATCAAGAATTTAATAATAAATAAGCTATAATTGAAATAGTCCTTGGTCATCATTAAGAGGACATAAAAACGAACCAAGAGACAAAATGTCTCACAGCTTATATATGTTATTTTTATTTTATAATAAGAGGGATTAATTTTTTTTTATCCTTTCATTTTAACATTCTCGACCAATTTTGTTGTTAATATGCAAAATATAATTCTTAAGAGTAGTTTCCATTCTCTGCCAATTATGATTGACACATCATGACATATCTATTCACGCTAAAAAAAAAAAAAAAAATATTGCTACTTACAAACTAAATCTCAAGACTCGCATTCACCCAGTTTTTAAAACTAATTTTAAGATTTGTATTCACACATTTTAAAAATCAAATATCAGGATTAATTTCCGTCCCATTTTAAAATCAAACATCCCAGTTCATATTTGCAAGCCTTAAAAATTAAATATCGTGATATGTATTCACGCAGCCTTGATGTGCAAAAAGAATCAATTTTGTCTCTAGCCTACTAATGATTCAAAGCTTATTTGTAAGATTTTAATCCAGTATTACATGGATAATTATAATTTTTTTTTAAAATTGTTATTTTTGATAATTTTTCTGAAACTATTTTAGCTATTATCTAAATCTCTGTAAAGAGGTGCGATTTGTATTGTTGAAAAACTTTAATATTTTAATTCTTATCCAAGTTTTGTAAAATTAGATTTAAAAAAAATAGTGTAACAATTTCTTATTGAAGAAAACTAGAATTTAAAATTTTCTAAGTGCAAAAATTGACAGCTCTTAACAAATTTGCCCCTTACATAAATTTTTTTAATACTAAGATTTCAAGTATGTTTTCATCAAAATTGAAATTTAAAGAAGCTGGATGAGGAAAAGACTGTTATTTAAAATTTTTTTAAGAAAAGAAATTTCTCCACTGGTTTAAAACTGATTAGAACTTTTTTTTTTTTGGGGGGGGGGGGGGTTTGGATNTTTTTTTTTTTTGGGGGGGGGGGAGGTTAGGTGGTTTTTTTCCACTATAGAAGATACATATCATCCCTAGTTTTCTTGAAATCTCAATGACCCCATATTGTGTATATAATGTGTTTTAGGCAAAATTGGATTTCTGTTTTCTTTTCTCAATATTATCCCGTTGTTATTGGAGGAGAAGGAAAATCAATTTTGAGTGCAACACCCGAAAAATATTTATTTTAATCACACATTCAAGTTATAGTTGGTTTCTGTTTTCAGAATCAAAATAAATTTATTGAACTTGAACTTAAAAATAATGTTTTTACTCAATTTAATTTTTTTTATGTCATCTGTGATAGTTTTAAAAAGTAGTAAAAAGTATTGTTTTACTTTTGAATTAGTTAATGATAATTGAAGCTAAAAAGATCTGAGTAATAAAGTTTTGATTTTTTTCTAAATGCCAGAATAATTGATCTATGTTTTAAGTTATCGTATTATACAGCTGTGTCATGTAATGCATTTTTTGAGATGGTTTATTTTAAAAATTAATCAAAAAGCTACTACGTGGGGAAAAAAGTAACTTATGTATTTCGTTGAGGAGACTATTTAGGCTATTATTATTTATATTTCATGTTTCATGAAACATAATAAGTCATTTTATGAAAAAGAAACTCAATTAACAAGTTTACATGACCAAATTTATATGCTAAGGAATTTAGGAGTCTTATGCTTATTCATTGGTTTCGGAAAATGTAATAGCAAAACATATTGGGTAGAGTTTTACAAATATTGATTAGTTTTTTTTGTTGGTCAATTTCAATCAATGATGCAGTGATCATATTAGAGAATTTATAAAATGTGGATTGAAAATCATTGACAGAATTTATAAATTAAAAAATGTGTATGTTTATAAAAAATATATTTGTAAAATAGGAATTTGCTTTTAGGTTTACTGAAATTCTTCAAAATTTCGTTGATGGTAAAGAGGAGTTTGACATGAGACGAATGGAAACATTGATTAAAAAGAAAAAACTACATATTTTAACTAGTGTACGTATGTTATTCACATTTTTTTCTTTTCTTTTTTTTAAAAAGCTTCAGTGAAAAAAATGATAATGCATGAAAAAGGCTGTAATGAATTATTGAAAAATGATGTAAATGTATTAAAATGTTAATTTTTAATCAAGGTATTTGTGATGACCACTCTGTCTGGAAACTGGGAAAACCTGTAATTCTCAGAGAATTTCAAAATACGATTGAAAGGCCAAAATTTCTCTGAAAAATCACAGCACTCAAAATTCTTAGAGTATTAGCAATTGGCAGCTTAACAATCCCACACAACTTTACAGACAATATGTTTCACTCTTTTATTAAGTATTAAAACTATTTTATGTGACAAATTATATTCTAGCGATCGTAATCTAGTCATTCAGAGCTATTTTCATAAATTATAATTAATAATTTAGTCAGTCCCACTTTCTATTAAACAATCTATTATTTTATTTATGATAAATTTCTTAAAATAACGTTTATACTAATTTTTTTTTAATTATAATTTCTGTATCTCCTCTATATTTGTAATAAAAATATGGAACCTGTATATAATAAAGGGCTCTAAAAACAAAAAGAGAGTCTTTAAACCCGCTTGCTGGCTAAATCAGAATTTGTTTTTTATTCCAAAAAAAAGCATAAAAAATAACTTATATGGATTCCTTTATTTTTCATGTATTAACTACATATTCTAATTTTTTTCTCCTTTATAAAGAGTTTAATATTTTGAACTCTGTTTACAGATAAAACTCTTCTTTTTGACATTTTAAATAGTTGAATAAAAAGCGCATTTTAATCAAAAGATAAGGGCTGGAATGATCTTTTCGTATATGTGACTCTGAAGCCATGAATGCTTATGCAAACACTTATTTCACTAACTATATTCAAACCCCATCAAAATTTTTTGCTTTTCTTCTGGAAACAAGACAATGGATTGGTTTGATCTCCAGTCTACCTGCCATATTCCTTTTCTCCGAAAATTGTTCTTGATAACTTTGGAAAACGAATTAAAATTTTTTAAATAACGCTGAAACGTATTTCACAATAGTTATGCATCATAATACCCCTATAATTTTAAACAATAGATGATATTCTGTGTAATTTGATTTTCAGATCTTCATTCATTTTGCTGTTATTAAATTCTTCCAAAATTATTTCCCTCATTGAATCCGAGAAAAAGTTTTTAAAAAAAAAAATTGCTTGTTTAAGAGTACACTCATACATTTAAAACATTGTACCACACTTAATGTTTCATTTTTTCTTGTTTAATTCACATTCTAATTAAATGCGAACTCTTTATAAGTGGGTTTTACTGTTTTTTTGGACATATAGAATTAATAATTATAGATTGAAAAAAATTATTTTAATGTTTTTTTTAGATTCAAATTCTTCAAAATCTTATTGCATAATATGATGTCTATTTAAATCATAAAAATTTCAAATTTATTAAATTTGACTACTGAAATCTCAGAGGATTTATTTTTGTCTGGAAAATGACTGCTCTACAATTGAATCTCTTCAATTTTTATCTTTTTTAAAAAATTTGCATCATATAGTTACATTGTGTTTAAACTTCATAAGTGTTGCTAATTTTGTGAGATTTAAATTAAGATTTTTTTTTATTTTCAGATGGAGGATAATGCACACGATGCATTGGCTAGTTGTCTTATTGGAGACTTTTTGTATGGATCGACATTAGAAGATGTAAGTTGAAATATTGATATTAAATTTTGAATTTTGTTTGTAATACATACTCTACTTTTTTTTAGATATTTCTCTAATTCTGCTCTCCCAGATCTAAGGCAGTAATTCCAGAAAGGAAAAGCCATGGTTTGTTGAAATGGCTGTTCAAAATCAGAGCCCCAATCTAAATTCCATAGAACACCTTAGGAACGAATTGGAATACAGATTATATAACCATCCAAATCAAATATCCTCTCTGCTAGCACTACCTTCAGCTGTGATAAGCACCTAGAAGTCGTTTACTATGGCCACCTATCAAAATCTGATGGAAAATCTTCCCAAATGTTTGCAAATTATCATCGATACAAAAGAGAGACCAATAAATTAAATTTGTAAAAAGAGCAGAGAGATGTGGTGGCTCGGGGGATAGAGCATTCGCCTTCTATTGAGGTGGCTGATCAATAAGAGTTCTGCACCCATCTCGCTCCGATGACAGAGCTGCTGTACAATATCTTCAGTGGTAGACGGATCCTGGGTTAGAGTCCCCTTGCCGTCAGGCTAACCATAGGAGGTTTTCCTCACCATGTAAAGCAAATTCAGGATTTTTTCATCAAAAAGTCCTCAACAAAGGCAAAATTTCTTCCAAGACTTGTTCCGGGAGTTCCTTTGTCTTCTGGATGGGGTTTAAAATTATAAGGCTACAGAGTTGAACATTGGCAGTTAGTTGTAAACTCAGAATTGAATGGGCTGTTTAACAAAAGAGAGTAGAGAATTAAACTTAAATTAAAATAGAAAAGTAAAACGAAGTTTAACTAAAAGAACATGAATACTGTACACGATTGTACACAGTGCGCTGGTTCATTAAATACGAAATTTCAACAAACAATATTTTATTTTAACAATTGTTAATAACCAAAATCATTGCACTATTGCAATGAAAGCCACGACTGGCTCAAACAAGAGTTCAAGAGAAACTGAGCAGTTCACAACAATTGCTACAGATGGCGCTTCGCCTAAGACCGAACAAATACTGTGCCGGACTTCATCAGAGGAACTGCATGTATTCAAAAGAGAGATTTTCTGTGAATAAATGTTTAACAAAAGTAGAATGTTATTTATGTTCTAAAGCCAAATTTTTGCAACTGTACATAATAATTTATGCTTGAGAAATCATGATGTGTTATACTTAATAATTATGTGAATCATTGGATCTAATAATATTTTTGGTTCGATAGAGTACAAGCGTTCTGATAACTTTTAATTTTCTAACAATCGTTTTATCGTTATCGCTTAGTTTTAAAACAAGAGCTAAAGCTTTTCTTTTTCTTATAGCTCCAGAACAGATTGCAGGAAATACCAATCATTGAAAGTTTGTTTAACAAGCCTGCTGAATACTGGATCAATCTTTTGAAGACTTATATTCTTCATGGAAATCATGTCATTGTGAGTATTTATCAAAAGTATGTATAAATAGCTTTAAGCGTCCATTTAATTTAGGATTTGAAATTTTTTTTAAGCATGTCAATTATTGACTGTTTTAACCATCAATAAAGCTATTGTGTCAAAAATCAGTAAAATTGCATATTACCAAAAAAAAATGATAATTTTCAATTAAATAACATGGAAAATTATTATTATTTTTTTATTGAGTCTGATCATTTTCTTTTTCTTTTTGAATCATACTATATTTTTGGTATCATTGACACTTTTTCAAAATTCTTTGCAAAGATTAGAGTTTGCTTTCTTTCTGGAAAAAAAAACAACAAACAGAAATATTATATTTAAAAAAATAAGTAAAACAATGAAATAAAATATAACCATAATTTAGTTTTCTTGTCAAAACTATATTCTCTACTTTTATGTATCTGTACAATAGAATTTTTTTACCAGGATACATTTATATTTTTTTATGTACTTATGTCTTAATTTAATCTTTTGAATATACAGTAAAACCTCGCTATAACTATATTTTGGTTTAAATATATTGTTGTAGAGGAATATATTGTTATATCAAGGGCTTACATATTTTGGGGACACAATAATTTTTTTTAAAAATTTTAATGTTATATATGCATTAACTATACATGTATTTAAAAATTATGCAAATATTAATTTACAGAGTGTTAATTATGGTTAAATATTAAAAATAACTGAAATAAATTCAGAAAATTAGATTGTAAACATACCTGTAAACTTTTTTTATTGAAAGAATCAGATATTTTTGTTTGTTTGTTCATTTTTGTTTTAATGTCAAGACAACCAACAAAGTATGCACTGAGTCCAAAGCACGAAAATGATTTTTGTTTGTGAATCATACTCCCTTACCTTCTACAGATTCTTCTCTAAAAAATTATCTTACAGGTGTTAATGTGATGCTAGTGGTCATTTGTGACTCATGATCCGCTTTTAACTTGAAGGAAATGAAATTAGAGAGGAATGTTACATGTGACTTAAGAGATAAGGAAGGCGATTCTAAGAATGGAAGCTCTTGGGGGGAAGGGGTCAGCAGTGAGTCTTCTTCAGTCAGAAAATATGTAAAAAATGGCAAAAGATGATAAAATAATATTTTTTTCAATAATTGAAAATTAATAATACATGGAGAAAATACGGTTGAAATTTGAAAAAAAAATATTTTTTTTCAGGGGTTCATTGCTTCAAAGAATATCGTAATATTGCGAGGAGCTTGACATTAATTCATATGCAAGTTCGTCGGGATCACGAAACATTATCGTAATAATGAGAGTTATTGTTGTATTGGATATCGTAGTAATGAGAGTTCACTGTACTATAAAAAATTTTCATGTGCATTTTGATTGTTACCAGGTTTTTGAATGTTTGAACTGGTTATTTACCCTTGTCGTTTCTAAAATCAGTTTTTGGTAAAAAATCAACTTTGTTATTTGTTTTCACTCCATTACTTTTTCTCCTAATATCGAATGTTTCTGAGAAAAATTTGAATTCATGTTGTAGGTTGAAGGGCGTCCTAGCCCAGCGCTTGCAGCTGAAATGGCTGAGATTGAAAAGAAGAGAATTGAGGAACAGCAGAAGAAACTGGGACCCGATGGTTTGAAAGAAAAAGCACAGGTTTTGAAGGATGCCATTGAACAGAATGAAGTAAGTTTTTGTAGTTTATTAAACCAAAACTCACCTTTATATAAATGTTGTTATTTTTTTTTTCAAAATGGTTATCACTTTGCTTTGGTTATTGGATTTTTATTTTATCGCTCCATAACTACATTATTTTAAACACCAAGTTTAGCATGAAGGCAAAGTTTGCAAAATTTCAAAATAGAACAATCAGTTTAAGTGTTATATGGAAGTAAAATGTCAAACTGATCAGGTTGCTGAACAGAAATGAAAAATAAAGAAACATTATCATCTACTGAAGCTACAATGTAAAGTTTTATTCTCAATTATAAGAACTAAATAGCTATGCTGACATTCCTTCATTCTGTTTTTGTGGTTAAGCCTTTCAATGTTGATATAAAATATTCTTATGTACAATTACATACTATTGTGTGTTTGTGAAGACGATTTTTGTTCACTAACTGCTGTGACAATAATATGGAAATATCTGCTTTAGAAACCCTAAAATGTTAAATATCTTTTAATATCATTAAAGTTGAGAACATAGTGATCTGTATTTAATGCATTAACCTCTGGATTTGTGTTTATTTTATGGTTAAGTAAATGCTCATGGGAAACTTATTAGTTGATGCATTTCATAAAATAAAAAATACATGCATTTCAAATTTCTTACTATTTTTCCTGCAAATGTAACAAAAATTATAAAAATATTGAAAGCTCTGAATAAAATAATTTCTTTCAAACTCAAATTGAAAAAAATCAAAAAACAATTGCTAAATTATGTGTGAACGAAATATAATAGTGATAACATTGCACCAATGGAAAATAGCATTAATTATTTTTAATATTGTTACATCGGTCGAAGTTTTTGAAAATAATTTATCAAAAATATACTTGAAGCTAATTATTGCTGCTTTTCGAAGTTATTTCGTCAAGTAAAATAACACTTTCTACAAAATAATATGCTATATTCTTAATTGTTATGATTTTGTCTCAGTTATTTATAATTGTTCCGTTAAGCTTTGTCATTTTTCTATGATGAATTGTACACAATTTCAAAATGATAAGTCAATTGTCCAAAAAAGGGGAAAAAAATGTGATGCAGTTTTTTAATATTTGTAAAGTAAGTTACTTCATTTGCTGTTACTGCATTTTATGCCCCATAAGAGAATAAGATTTATTTGTTTATTTAATTTGATTTTCATGTAGGTAAATTTTTTTTGCCAAATGGAAATTATTTAAAAGAATCTTACAATAATAAAAGTGTAGTAAAAAATTGTAGAAAATAAAAGATCCACAGATTTGCTACTAATGAAGTTATGGGTTATCTTTTCCTTTAAATAAATATATTTATTTATTGTGTGTTATTTATTGTGCATTTATTTTAAACATAACATAATTTTATATTGAGTTATTCCACATCAGTAGTATATTTGTTTATTAATTTGTATTTTTTTAGATTTTGCCACCAAAAGAAGTTTTGAATTCTATTACCGTGCCTTCTGTTAAATCTATAAAACTGCATCCTTTGAAAAGAATCTGCAATATTGTTGAAACTGAAAGTTGTGGTTTAGATTTCCCGATTAAAAAAATGCCTTGCCGTTTTCAATTAGATGCTATAAACACCAACTTTATCCGGGTAAGATAAATGTATTATCTTTTTGTATTCTTAATTATTTGGTGTGCCGCTGAAAAGAAAATATGTATAAGTCAGTGTTTTCACTACAGCGCGAGAACGCGAGAATCTCGCATATTTTTTTCTTTTCCCGCAATAAAAAATGATTAACGCGAGAAGTTCGCACACTCTTTTAATCTATTTCAAAATGCGCAAATTTTGGAAAAAATTTCGTCTTTTGCCATTTTGAATGAAATCCGTTTCACTTTTCTTCCTTGATCTTTCATTATTTTGAACATTGTTCCTTGTTATCTAGCTTCCCTATTTACCAGTATTGTTCAAAACTGGTGCGAATAGCAGAACCCCCCCCCCCCCCCCGAACCACGGAATCCCTTCCAGAGCACATTTCTCTGCAACTACGTGTTCACCGTAGGTAAGGTTTCTTCATGTAAGACGTTTACATTTTTTGTGCATAAATTTCATTTGTCCTTAACGGACAAATGAAAATGAAGCAAATGTCGGTAGAAACGGTCAAAACGAAACAAATACGGATATTTTTCAGCCAAATAAATATAATAACTGATGAAAAAGTAGATATAGAACATTTTCCATATGATGATGCAGCAAAAATATTCAATTAGAAGATGTTAAAAATTTATTATAATTAAAGAAATTTTTTTTTCCAAGTCTATTCGTGTTTTTTTGATTTTTTGAAATCTCACTTAACTTTTTGAAATCTCACCCTGTTTTTGAGAAAGGATGAGAAATTCTCTCAATTTTTTTTCCTGTAATGAAAACACTGTACCGTCTAGAAGAAATATAGCTATGTGTAGAAAATTTTTCTTCAGTTTATTCTCTCTAACTTTTTCTGTCTCTAAATTTTTCTTCAATTTATTTTTTCTTTTCTAATAATACAATTAAAAAAAATTCTATAAATTTTTTTTTATCTAATTTTTTTGCATGTATTGTTATTTATATTTTGCAAATTTTTATTTCTTTCATTGTACCAGAGTATGGTCAATGACAAGATTTGAATATTTGGGTCTGGGAAATTACAAGATATTCCTGTCAGGTCTTTGCTGAACTTTGTTTCAGCTATAAAGCTTTTCGTTAATCATGACTTAAGGTTTGGGTACACTATACCTCTGGTTGATGTGCCCTGCTCTCCACAAAAGCTAGTTCATGTTGGAAATGCGATCAAGATTTAAATATTTTCTGCTGGATTCTATGCTCACTGGTTGGTTTATAGCAGAAAAATTTATTCAGATCATAATGTGTGTTGCCATTATTACTTAAATTTTCCCACTAGTACAACTAAGCTATGCTTTCCTTTCATGTAATTTTATTTTATAACCATCATTGAACAACCAACCCAATTTTGGTTTTACTATTACTAATATTGAGCTCCGTTGCCTTGTAATTGTGAACCCAATCCAGAGGACAAGGGAACTCCTGGATCAAGTACTGGGAGAAATTTGCCTTTGTGAAGAACTTTTTGATGGAACTAACTTGCATTTGCGTTACATGGAGAGGAAAATAATGAAAACCTCCCACATTTAGCCTGACGGCAATGGGACTCTAACCCATGATCTGGCTACCACTGAGGATATTTCATGTCAGCACTGTGGAAAGTGGGAGACCAAGGGTTGGAATTTGTATCGACCAGCCATCGCTGCGATTCGCATTGCAGGAAATTAAAGTGTCAAATGTGAAGACTATATAGTTTCAGTTTTGACGACTATTGTAAATGTATATAAATCAACTTGTTAGTATTATGCTCCACTCTTTCTATTTGGCTTTTACAGTTTTTCTAGTCCTGTCATAGTTCATGCTGCAAACACATGTATAACTCTGTCATACTGTTATGTAATTTAAATGTACTGTTTTTATTTAATAAATGTAATGTTTTTTTTGTCTACTTTGGTCGTAGATGTTTCTCTCCTATGTCAAGACAGTTACAGGAGTGCACTTAATGAGAAAAATCAATTTTATTTGGTTGTTTGTTCCAATCTGGGAGTTACTATGTCATTTGGACTGTGTTCAAAATTATAAGGCTACAGAGTTGAATATTGATAGTTCAAAGATGGGTCGGCTGTTCAGTTATGAAATAAAATATCATGAAATTGTCATTATATTTTATCTTATGTCCTGAGTTTTGATTAAGATTTCCTTTCAGGTCTATGTTATGATGGATACCAATGACCTTCCTCAAGATTTGCGATTGTATCTTCCCTTATTTGTCGAACTTTTAGATGAATGCCCAATCAAGCGTAATGGAGGTAAGCTCTGCACAGTTTTTCAGATAACTCATTAACAATATTTTTTCTCATATGGTAACAGAATTTGTCCCTCTACTTACTCCCGTTGAACTTAATTGTAAAAACATTGTTAACACACTACTGTTTATAGTGGATTTATTTTTCTCTGCCATTGTGAATTGTAGATAAATGAAAAAGTAGTTTAGAATAGATTTCTAAATTTGGCCAATATTTCAATTATCTCTTTTTTGAGCACCAGGTATTTTTGTGATAGTTTTTCTATTTAAGGAGAAGAGGCCAAAGCTTGTTTCGCAATATTCTAAAATTTTAGTATTGTGCTTTATAGTGCAGAGACATTTCACAGGGTTCCCACGGTCCTTGAGAGTCCTTGAAAGTCCTTGAATTTTTTGTTGCTAAATTTAGGTCCTTGAAAGTGCTTGAAAAACGTCTTAGGTCCTTGAAAAACTTGATAGGTCCTTGAATTTGTCCAATACTGCCGGCGGCCCTTTTTATAAAACACCCACGGATCTTTCTGTTTTGTTCCCGAGCTCTCTCACGTGGTTTTTAACGCCACCGTTTCTAACCGGGCCTAGCGTCTTGGTGTCTGCCAAGTGCGCGGAGTACAGCAGACAATCAATGCGTTCGGGGCGAGACTCCACTTCATCTTCTGTCGCATATGCTTAGATCTTCTTTTTTCTTATCGAAACTGGAATACTCTCGAATTTCGTAACAATATGTACCTTGTAGTTTTCAATAAATTTGCCGTTTTACCATCCGCACTTGTCCTTACGTTTGCGTCATTTCAAAACTTTATTGTAAAGCGTATTCGCAAAGGCACGGCTTCGTATTTGTGTTATGTAGTTTAGACTAGTTATGCCTGGGAAGTGCTATTTTAATCCCCAATGGATGGATAATCAAGCTTATAAAGAATGGATTTTATCGATGCCCGAAAAGAAGTTCAGAGCCAAGTGCCGATTATGCATGAAGGAGATCGATATCGCGAAAATGGAAGAATCTGCTCTGAAATCACACATGAAAGAAAGGTAAAACAAAAAAGCAGTCTCATGCCCTGAGTTCTCTTTTTCCAAAGACATCAACATCTAATTCATCTGGTGTAAATACTCCTTCAACATCGTGTGCCCCATGTGAAACAGAAACTTTAGTGGCCGAGGTAACATTGTCTTCTTATCTGGTCAAAAGGAATGTGCTTGATGCTGAAATTCTCTGGAGTCTGAAGTGCATCACTAGTAATTATTCATGTAACTCCTGTGAAGGGATTAGTAAATTGTTCTCCAAAATGTTTGCTGATAGCTGTATAGCGAGACAATTTTTTTGTAGTGCCACAAAGTGAGCCTATTTGGGCTCCTTTGGATTGGCACTATACTTCAAAGGGATTCTTATAAATGAGCTGAAGAATGTTGATTGCTACACTGTACTCTTTGATGAGACGTTAAATCAGTCTCTACAATCTAAGCAGATGGACATTATGGTAAGGAATTGATAATAAAGTTTGCACTAAGTATCTTACCTCCCAATTTATGGGTCATGGAACTGCAGAAAATATTTTGTCCTCTTTTTACAAATGCATGGATGATGGTTAAAAGCTCTCTAAAATACTTCAATTATCCATGGATGGACCCTATGTCAATTGGAAATTCTATTAGAAGCTTCAGTGTGAATTAAAAGAGAAATATTCCCACCAGGTCATATTCATTGGCAGTTGTGGATTACACATAACGAATAATGCTTTTAAACATGGTGAAAATGGGATATGTTCCTTCTAATTTTTATTTTCAGAAAGAATTGTTGCTGCATAACATTTAGAGAAGGTTGTGTAAATTATGGATGAATAATTTCAGAAACGATGTTTAATAGAGGAGAGGAGGGGGTTATGGAATAGTCATGGAATATGGAATACCTAAGATTTAGCTCTGTCTTTCATGCAGCCTTCACATGGAAATACACAGGATTAAAGGATTTCACCATTAACACCTCATTACCATTAGTTATAGATTGTGCTGAAAATGATTTTGTGAATTAATATGTAAAACCAGTAGGGTTGTTTTTAAAAAAATATAAATTTTAGTCCATAATACATATACTCTCTTCTCTCTATATAGGCAAAGCATTTAGGTATTATATTTGAAATTAATTATTGCCACAACAAGCATTGTTGCTTCTAGTAAAATAGAAGAGAATAATTTTTAAAATTGGTCTTAGATTAAGGTCCTTGAAAATTTTGTTGAGGTCCTTGAAAAGTCCTGGAAAGTCCTTGAATTTCAATCTCATCATAGAGTGGGAACCCTGTTTCAGAATTTTTTATTGTTTTGATGGGATTGATACAAAATGGTGTAAAGTCAGTAGTAGGAAAAGTAATACCTATAGTGTGTTGACCAAGTTAAAGTTGGATGTATCAACCATTCTGTACGGCATTGCGACTTGTGAGAGAATATTCAAAAATCCACTTAATTCTGTTCTTCTTTGTCAAAACAAACTTTGGGTAATTTGTTGACTGGGAAAGCAAAACCAGGTAGATTTTTAAAAAGCTTTTTATTTCATATAAGGTTTTTAAAAAATAATGAATCAGTTACTCAGCCTGTTTAAAAAATCAATAAAAAAGCTGTGAAATATATTTCAATTAAAGAATCTGTAAATGTAACTTTTTCAATCTTTCATCTTTTTGTTTATTGTGCTGTGCAATTGTAACCACATGTCTCAAAAAAAGGGTTAGAGGATTTGTATTTTTTGTCCTTCTTGAAAACATGTATTTATAGTTGTCAAAGTGTAATTTAGGAATGGTTATTGCATAGGAATAGTCTGCTCACGTAAATGACACATTGCACAACGAGGCAATTTTTTATTTAAGCAAAAAAATTTTATAACATTACATTTTTCTTTTTGGGAAATGGATAATTTAGCTATACAAGAATATATATTTTTTTCCAATGCCCACCTGGGTTGACATTTTGTCAATTCAGGCATGTTAGGGCAAATTTGTTGGCCACTCTTTCAGAGACACCATATTAGGTTGGCCAACGTTGCTCCCACAGTACAGAGATTGAAAGAACATACATGCCTTGTCCAGGATTCGAACCCAGAACCTTTCTGGTGCAAGGCCAGTTCCCTGACCCCGACACAGTCTGGTTAATGGAAAATGTTTACACAATGTTTGTATTTATCAAATCAGCCAATAGTATTTAAAATGTTAAATTATAATTTTTTGTCTTTTTTTATTTACTGAAATATAGATAGGAATCATTATTGCATATAATATTCATGAGTTCAATTTAACATGTTTGCCTATGTAACATTTCTAGAAATTATACCCTACCAGGATGTGGTGACTGAGTTGGAGAAAGATACCATTTCGATATCAGCTAACTTGGGATTCAACTACCAACGTTTTTTCTGTGGGACATATGCTCAACTTATTTGTCTAGAATTAATGGTAAGCATAAAAACTGATTTAACTCATAGCTGTACCTTTTTAGCGGTTGTTCTAAAAAGCATCATAATCTCTCAGGAAATGTTTTGGATACAAATTTGTTTAAAATTACTTTTAATATTATTTTTATCAATACAGTGCCCGCCGTTTATTAAAATCACTTTCGTTTTATGCTCTTTTGATTTTATTAAGCGGCTGATTTTATTGAGAGGCGATTCAGCATTTGGAAAAAAAAATCAAATTTTTTGTATTCTAAATGCACACACTTTAAAAGCTGAAATAATGACAACATTAATGTTTTATTTTAACTAATTTAATTATTTTAATAAAGTAAAACCCTACATAAGATTAAATTTCTAAAATTTTGCAAATAACCGATCAATGGTTGCTTGAGTTTCAGTATTTAAAATTAACTTTTCAACATCATTTGAGAGTTTATAGAAGTTTTTATAGTTTTGGATATTTCCTCCTCTTTGTTCTAAAGCTTGCCGCACTACATTAAGTGCTTTTCTGACTTCCATTGAAGATGGCACTGATGAGTTCATTTCATCTTCTGAGTCTGATTCCTCCATTTCTTGATTGAAAATAACTTTGCAATTTTTGATGTTTGTAACAATTTCAGAATCAGATTTTTCTCCTGATGTTTGCAGTTTATCGTCAATAGCTATGGAACATGCGCACAGTTTTTGGAAATCCATTCATGTTCTCTGTAGAGATAGATAACAAAAGAAACTTCTCTCCCTTCTATGGTTCATTCAATAAAAAGTAAGATAAGAATTCGACCCCCTGCTGAATGAGATAGGTTTCTCCAAACTTCATTCAAGTCAAGGAATTGACATTGATTTCTATGAACTCGCCGCTTACCACCCACATTTTTCCTTAACTCTTACACTATGAATATCCTCAGGAAAATGCTAGCCACGCCAGCTTCTTCTAACTGTTGCTTCTTCTAAAAAAATCTTTAAACTTCGAAAAAATAAAATTTTATTAATAAGAACAAAAGAAGCTGAAATATTGCACTTTTAATTTATTATGTAGTCAAAACTTTGATCTTAAAAAGCGGCGGCATTGATTTTATTAAAGGATGCTTTTAACATGTATTAATATTGTAAAGATTCGGTTCTTGCCGATTTGATTTTATAAAGCGGCTGATTTTATTATCCAGTGATTTTATTAGCGGCGGGCACTGTAGCAACGTTAGGGTAGGCATCATTCAAATTATAATTTAAATTGTAATTAAAATTTTTTGATTTTTTTTTAAAAATCATTAATTTAAATAATTAGATTTTTTTTTAAAAAAAATGTCATTGATTTAAGGCAAAACAATATTTTATGCAGTATAATTTATGATTACATTCATGTAAAGTTGTGTTTTTTTTTAAAAAAAGTTTTCTTTTTTTATTGGTGTTAAAAGAGGTTTTATGAAGTGAAATAATGAGAGAGGAATGTAAATAACTAATTGATGTTCAAAATAGTGTAATAAATAATAATAAAAAAAAAACGAACAAAAAAACAATGTGGTTGAAAATGATGGGAAACCAGTAGTCCTTTTCCATTCATATGTAAAATAATTTGCTGTTTCATTAACATGTTTCTATTATACCCAAATAGTTTTAGTTTCATTTAAATGTGAACACTTTTGAAACGTAATCTGTTAACTGAGTATGATGAAATATTTTGTAATATATACAAACTGTTACTGCATTGAGCATAGTCGCACCATTAAGTGACAAATCGGGTTTTTATTTTTAAAAATTCGTAAAGGTGCTGTGTGTGAATAAAGATAACTATGATTTTATTTATTTTATGATTATGTTGCAATGATTAAATTTCATTAATTAAATATTAGTTTTATTTATTTTATTTAGAAATATTAAATATTTTAGCTACAATAGTGTTTTTAAAAATATTAAATTAAGCATTATTAGTAAATTTAAAAAAAAAATTATTCATTTAAAAAAATAAGTAAATAATGATTTTTATTAATCTTTGACAGCACATATTAGGCATTTTAATGATAATAGCATTTTTTAAGTCTGGCTCAAAAGTAGTTTTTATGTTTTCAAGTCTGACTTATTTAGAAGAAAATGTTGAATTTTTAAACTAATTCGAGCAAGTATGGATCAGTACAATTCAATTTTAATAAATATCTTTTGTTTTGTTTTACCCTTACATACATATTCAGAATTTGTTTTACGTATTTTTATGAAAAAAATTAAACTTCGATAAACAATTTTTTATTTATTTTTCTTGGGACTGAGTAAATATGAATCAGTGTCTTTAAAATTTAAACCTTTTTTGGTCCCATCCTTGTAAAAAAGTAATCATTATTTTTAACCTTAAGGTTGCAGAAGAAAAGTATGAGAAATCAGTTCAGTGGATACGAGAATTGTTGTATCAAATTGTATTTGAACCATCAAGAATCAAGACATCTATCAATAAAATGGTGACTGCTGTATCTGGTCTGAAACGTAAAGGAGGTACAGTTATGAGAACGCTACTGCATAACTTAATATTTCACCCACACAGTAATCGTTGGACATCCAGTATGCTGAGGCAAGCAAATTTCCTTTCAAAAACTCTACAAACTTTAGAATCAAAACCTGAAGAGGTAAATTTTTTTTGTTGTATTTATTTGAGGTTTTTGTCAGGTTGTTTTAAAAAAAAAACTTTTCTATAGAAACATAACTCATTGCTTTTTTTTATGGATAGTTTTTTAATTCCAATTTAAAAAACTTTTTAAGTTTCTAATATTTTGTTTGAATTTGATGTGACTCTTTTCGAGTTGAACATTATTTAAAAAATTAAAATGTGCTTAGTTGCTTTTTAGAAAAACACAATGAACTAAAATGAAGAGTTTGTTTTAATGTTTAGGAAGTTTCTAAGGAGTATAAAAAAGCATATTTTCTTTGATATTTTTTCAAATGTTGGTTCGTAAAGTATTATCTAGAATCATTGGAACTTTTTCAAGTTCAGAAAATAGGTATTTTAAGTGAATAGTTATTAAAATATGCATTACTTAATAAAATTGAGTTTTGAAAAAATATCAAGATCTATTTTTACACTATCTTTGATTTTGCACAAAACTAGCTTTAGAAAATGTTCCATTTAATATACAGAAGAAAATAAATGTCGAGATCTGTAGTACCCTTGTAATCTCTAGGCGAGGAGCAAAAAAGTTAAAAATATGCACACAAAAAAAATATATTAAATTTGAAAATAAATTATCAATTAAGTGTGTCTTATAAAGCGCTCTGTGAGTAGTGTGACTTTTTATTTGAATTTGATCTCATTTTATGGATTGTTTTCGTTTATTTCAGGTTATTGAGAAATTGAACAAAATCAAAGAATTGGTTGTGAGGCCTGAGAAGATGACTGTTCATTTAGCTGTGAACCTAGACAAATTAAAGTCAAAAGTAAATCCAGAGCAACCCTGGATTGAAGATTTCCTTCCTCCTCATATTCAACCAGGATATAAAAAGTAATAACTCTCATTATTTATTTAAAAATAAATAAATTTACTCTTTTATAATGTTTACATAAAAACTTAAAAGCATCTTCTTAGTTTTCAGTACTTAGGATATAACGATAGATAGAAGAAATATTCTATATGTTTTTTTATTTAAAAATTTTGCTTTTTTGAAAATAAATTGATGAAAGAAAGGGTGAGTTCAACCCCTGTCACTTCAACCGCTCACCATCAAGCTGGAGTCCAAAGTGATAGAAAAACAGTTTCCCAGCAATGCAGAGAGAGAGAGAGAGAGCCATTATTTAATTTATCAAAAAATAGTTGCTATTGAGTTAAAATGTAAATAATGCTAACATACGTTTGAATTATTTATTATAAAAAGCTTACTACAATGGTCGATATTATTCTATCAACTACTAAGAGATTCTTACAAAATGCATCCCACCCCAACAATTTTTTTTAGCAAATTGAGAAGAAGTCAAGAATTTAAATTTTTTTTTTTTTTGGAATTTAAGTGGGAATCATGAAGTGAGTATCAGTTTGTCAAAGAATAAAGAAATATCTATATATAATTTTTGCCAGAAAAAATTAATTTAAAAATCTTATGATTTAAGTAGCAATACTCTTTTAATAATTTCCCCTCTTCATTTATTACTTTTAATGCAGTTTAAATTAAATAAATCATTTTGAGATTTTGTTATCTTAATAGGAAAATCTACAAGTTAAGGAGAAAAAAAGTAGAAGCTTGTGAATTCTTTTAGCAATAGTTTGGATAAGGTTGAATTCCAATCGTTACAGAGAAATCACACAAGTATTTTTTTTTAAAAAATAAATTAAATAAATATGAAAGCAAAAAATTCTGCAGGAATATACTACTTTAGGGTGCAATGTTTAATTAATTTAAAAAAATAAAATATTTCCATCCTACTGTTTAAAAATTTAAGATACTTTACCTTTTTTGGTCTATTCTATTGTCTATGTTATTGATTATTTTCTTTTGAATAGGAGCCCAATTAAAAAGTGCCATGAGTTACTTCAGCTTAAAATGGGTGATGAACCTAGGGGTGTGATTATTGGCCTCGGATCTGTAGAGACCGGATATTTGGTGCAGTGTGCGCCATGTGTCACATCACCCACTCATCCTGATTATGTGCCTATATTAGTTTTAATACAGTACCTTACTCAACTGGAGGTTTGTGTTCCATAATTTTTAGATTATTTTTAAAGCCAAAATGACCAAACAACATAATATCAATTTCTTATGAAGCCTCTCAAAAATTGTTTATTAATCAAACTTAAGATTGCGGGAATAGAAGACTAAAATTTGTGAGGAATTTCATATGATCAAATACAAAAAAGTTAATAGTCTACACTCTTTAGTACAATCTCTTTTTACAACAAACCTTTCATTATAATAATCCATGCATATAGTTCCTTTTTACAAATCTGTAAGTGCAATGTTATTTTAATGTCCATTCGAACCATTCTTTCCAATATAGCAACTGAAATTTATTCTCTATGATTTAGAAAAACTATAAAATTAATTATTTAAATCTTTATTTCCTTTGACGTTACTTAACTTACTTATGCTTGAAAAGTACTAATTAACATACAAATAAAATTAAAACATACAAAATAATAATCTAAGTATCAAAATAATAATCTAAGTATTATGACTGGATTATGAAGTAAGCCTTACTTATTTTTATCACTTAGAATTTTATCAGAATCTTTTCGGTTTTTTCTTTTTCCGAACTATCTATTGTCAAATTGATAGACTGATTATTGTAAAAGCTATGCTGCAATTATCTGAAATGAATTCAGTGTTTGTCATTTTTTAAAATTATGAATTCAAAAATTCAATGAGAATATGAATATTATTTATTTTCACATTCTTTTAATATCAATAATAATGAGAAATACAGCCATTAATTTACTATTGTCTTTGTGTTATATAGTTGTATTTTGTTTTTATATTTTAAAATCAAAAATCCTTAAAATGCCTTTTGTCTAACATGTTTTTAATCTTACACAATTATTTGCATAAAATAAATATTAGTTCATAATATCTGCAAGATTTTTTTCTTCTCATGTTGCTCATATGATTATTTTATAATTTCTTTTTTAGTGTCTAAAAGTTAAAAAGTGGAAAGTTAAAATTTATTTTCTGTTTTATATTCTTTATTTCTTTCTAGCACAAAACGATTATTATATATTAGTAAGTAGTAAACACCTCAATAAATCTCACCTTTATGTCACTGTGTTCTGATAATAAATACAAAGTATAAATACGAATTTCATTCTTATAATCGTTTTTGAAAGAAAATACTCTTTTTTTATTAATATTCAGTATGTAGGGAGATATTATGAGCTTTTTTTGAATGTAATTTTTTTATTAATAATTGATGAGAAAAATGTAGGATACCATTAATTATTATTATAACCTTGGAAAAGTTGTGTTCCTACAACTTAGATTATTTCTTTAATTTCTACTAGTTAGAGTAAAACTAATTATGCCTAAAAGTTTCATTTCAAATGTTTGTTTTTCATTATAGGAAGTTTTAATACTTAATGTGGATTGTCATTTTAGGGACCTGTGTGGAGACAAGTGAGAGGTCAGGGTTTAGCTTACAGTTGCAGCATGTATTTAGATCCTGACTCAGGGTTAATATTTTTCAACCTAACCAGAGCTACACACATTGTTAAGGGATACACAGAAACTTTAAAAGCTGTTGTAAGTTTCACTTTATGTAAGATAGTATTTCTTAATTTGTTTTTCCTCTGCCTAGAAATGTATGCAACTAACAAGGGAAACTAGGGAAGTGTGACTCGCCAATTTTGAAATAAACTAGTGGGATGTATGCCTTATGAGGAATAATTTTAGGGGGCAACATTCGTTTCGGCCCATAGAAGGTCCTGTGAGAGATAAAAAATAATTCAATATATAGAAAAATCGGTATTTTATTACTTCAATGCAGACTATTAGTTATTGTAATTGTCTCATAATCCAATTAATTTGTAATTAATTGGATAATTAATTAATTTGCTAATTAATAAATCAATCAGAAAATTAATTATTAATTAATTGTTAATTAGTTATTATTTAATTGTTAATTAATATTAATTGATTTGCAATTACATACTCCAACTAATTTGGAAAGTTTTTTGAGAAAAAATTTAAAAAATTTGATGTAAATTTTTTTTTTCTAAATTTACCTAACAGGTTTTTCAGAAAAACTACAGATATATAAAATTTTCGAAATCAATTTTGACAATAAATATGCATTATATAGTATGTGAAAGTACCACAAAATTAATTGGAGTATGAGATAATTACAATAACTAATAGTCTGTATTGAAGTAATGAAATACCAATTTTTCTATACATTGAATTATTTTTTATCTCTCACAGGACCTTCTATGGGCCGAAACGAATGTTTCCCCCCAAAATTATTCATCATAAGGCATACTACCCATTTTCAAAAATCATTATTTCAAAATTGGCGAGTCACACTTCCCTAGTTTCCCTTGTAAGTAAGGCAGAAAGTGTTAAGGAACAAAAATTCATTCTGCTTATTAATTTATCAGGGTGAACAGGAAAAAATGAAATTATCAGGGAATTTTATTTTGACTCTAAAAAGCATGGGGTAGTCAGGGAAAACTGATTTTTTTTTAAAACAAAAACCTGGAAAATTCCTATATCATACCTGAAAAATAATCAGTCTTAGAATTGTCACTAACAGTAATCAGTTATTGAGATTGGAGTTAAATAATTCTAGCATCTATTACAATTATTAGTCCCATTTTAGTGTAACTTCAATCTTACCATTCTCATTCATTCAATTATACTTTTTTTTATCATGTAATCTAATATTTGGGTAGTTACAAATAAATCATTTTGATGTAAAATTGCATAGTGTTGATAAAATATAGTCTGAATTTTCATTGAAAATTGCCTGACCTGGAAAAGTCAGGGAATTTTTTTTCTTCTGAATTTGAATGGGACCCCTGATTTATCCTAATACATTGTATGCTTAAAAGGAAAACTCTGACAACTATGGATCTAACATTTCGCATCATGAGGATTGTAAACAGGCAACTCAAAGCAATTTTCTGGCATCACAAACCTGAGAAAAAGACTTCTCAAATTTACACCATTCTTGAAGTAAAGAACCTCATCTTGTGAGGATTTTTGAAAAATTACCATGTGATGCAATGTGTCTTCTTGTCTTGCCGATCTTCTTTTTGTATAATATCTCGAAGAAAATTTTCAAAGAAAAAGTAAAATTTTAAATTTGTCATAAAATGATCTGCCTAAAGCATAAAAATGAAATTTAAGAGTTTTATCTCGATAGTTTAAAAATATTTGTCAGAATATAGAATGATAAATAAATAAATAGAGAAGAATAAAATGATACAATATCTCTTTTATGCGTTACACTTATCTAGTTTCAATGAATTAAAGATTTGTGGTCAAGTACTGCAGCATAATCTCAAATAGTGTATTGCTATAAAAGCTTAAATTATTTTATAATTTTATTCTATTATATTAAACACAATGACAAGAATGCACACACGAAGCAGTTTTTGTATATAAAAAAACCCTAACTTTTCCCAAGATTGATACATTTTTTGCTTTACACAAAAAAGATCTTTAAAAAAAAAAAAAAAAATACAAAATAAGGCATGCATTTTTGAAAAAACAGAAATTTTTACCTAATGTCAAGATTGTTTTCAGCTTTAAATGTATTTTAAAGGCAGAAAGATACTATTTTTGCTTGCTTGTGTATATGACCCTTCCTCAATAAATTCTAAAACTTTATATATATATATATAAAGTTTAATTTGAAGGTTTCACTTTCTCTCATGTATTGTAGGAGTCTCATTTAAATGGTGAGTGTAAATGGGACAAAGAATTCTTAGAGTCGGCGTGCAGCAGTATGATCTTTGAAATCATTGAGAGGGTGAAGACCGTGTCTGATGTGGCCGAGGAGTCCCTTAGAGCTTATTACAACAATGTTGACATGAACTTCATACAGGAACTGTTGGAGAAGGTTCCCAAGGTCACCTTTCAGGACATGGAGCGTGTAGGAGTCAAGTACATGAAACCCTTGTTTCAAGACGCCACCTCCAGGTGCTCCATTGTCTGCCACCCGAGTAAAGTGGAGGAAATAACGCAAGGATTTGCTGCGTAAGCAAAATTTGTTTGTTTTTTGACTTCACAGCATTCAGATGTTTAAGCATGTGAATGTTTTGTGTTCATTGCAAAAATGAATTAAACAGGTATCGATAAACCCGTAACCTAAATATTCAGTTGAGCATTTGTTAACCTTTATGGGGCTAACTGTGAAGAAAATAAATTAGATTGACTTATATATTATAACTTTTACTAAGTCTTGGTAGCCAATATTTTTTATTTCTCCCGAAAACAAGCTATATATGATATGATTTTTCAGGATTGAGATTGATTTATAAAAAGGAATCCATTTAGTGTGTTATAGGAAATTAGTTTTTTAAGATCCTTTTTTTTTTTCATTTTGTGGAGAGGTAGCTGGGATCCCCCCCCCCCTACTGTGACGAATTAGCTGAAAACTTGACCTGTGTTTTTAACCTCTTAAAGCACGAGTTTTTCCCCCCCTTCTTTTCCGGAAAAGCTGTAAAAAATTCAAAAAAAGTTTGGACATGAAATGAATAAATAGGTTTAATGGTAAGTTATTTTTTGCAATTTCAGTTATTAGGGAGCAGGGGTGGGTGCAAAAGTTATAAAAAAAATTTCTGTACAAACAAAGTTTAAACAATTTAATTACATGTTTCTTTTGAATTTTGAAAATCTAATTATATCAATTAATATTCATTAAATTTAATTAGTATATCAAGTAGCTAATCATCAAAATGCACCATGTTGTTTACACAAGAAAAATGCCACATAGTGGTGTCATCTATGGTGAATCAATTTAATTATAATCTAGCCTATTCATTTTTACTCTCAGGCGGCATTTGAAATAAAATGACGCAAGATTCAAGATTAACTGTGTGAGACATGAGTAGGTGCAAATTTGCTGGTAACTTTCGCCCGTGTCAGGCACAGGCAAATGCATTAAGGGGTTGAATGTCTGAATTTGTAAATTTTGTGTTTATATCTGCAAATAAACTCAAAGAAAAATAATCAAATGAACAATCTCATGTCGCACAAGAGAAGATTGTTCACGGGTTTTCCTCTCCTTTTGTTGTGCTAACCTTTATTGTTACTCAATGTTATGTAAACAAAGCCTATCATTGGTATTCTTTCGTTATTTTGTAATTTGTTAAGATATCAGCAGATGGCAGCACAAAACTGAGGTTGGAAAATAGCATTCCATGTTTAAAAATGAATGAAGTGGGTGGGAAGTATGCTTTCCAGGTCTTATAAAGGATTAACTAAAAGAAACTTTCTTAATTGGGACTTTCATAATTTGTAAATTATGTTACTTTACATTTACTGTTACTTTAAATTTTTGTACTTAAATAATATTTAAAATGTGTGTTATATTTATGCTCAAAAAATTTAAAATTTACATATTTGTCCAATAAAAGGAAACTATAGGCCCACAAAACCTATTTAAGAACATTTTTTTTTTATAAAAATTCATTCTATTTTTCAAACATCTGGACAATCTGATTGAAAATTTTGAACAATTTTTAGGATCAGGGGTTGTAATTACCACTTTCACGCAATGTCCAAATTTAGAACATTAGCTGAAACAGTTCTGGATATATTAGAGAGACCCACAGACAAACTCTTCATTTTATTATTATAAATTCATTGTTTCAAATGCTTTTTCTTTAATGTTACAATGATTCAAATAATTTAATAAATATAAATATCTTTTTTTGTGTGTAGGTTTTCAAGAAATTTACGAATCTTACCATCTCTAGACGATCCGAGTGTCACAGATTTTTAATTTTGTAATTTTGCATAATTTAAGAATAAATTATTTATTTTCATCTTTGCTTGTTGATTTATACAGCTTGTTTACTTCATATTTTTTGAGAAATGAGAGATTTTATGTAAAATTGATCTATGCGTAATGAATAAAATTGTTTTCAATTGCTACAGGGTCTCTATGATTTAAATCAAATAATTGAAACTAGTGAATTAAATATTTAATTTTTGCTATTTCATTTAAAAAAAATTAGTCTCACTGTGAACTGATCATAAGATACGGTTACCTGCAGATCATTGAAGTCAAACTTTGCTGGTCGCAGACAGTGAGCAGTTGGGTGTGCATTATCAGTTGTCGTTAAACTGTTATTTTTGGAAATTGGATTGATAATCGCGTCAAATCAGCCAAATCTATGCTAGTTGTTTATTTCTAGTTAAGTCACGGGATAAGTTCGATATCTGGTGCTCATCGGGAGTGGTAACAAATCACACTCGTGAGACAATGTTTTTCTTACGAGTCGAAGCCATTTACTACTCAACTCTTCACCTACTTGTAAAAGAATTTATGCATATGCAAAATGCTCAGTAGCTTTTGATTGCTCGATGAGGCGGAATCTCGATCATTTGTAAAAGCTAAGATTCTTACAGACATTGAGTCCGTGCTCCGGCATGAATGTGTAGTTATGATTATGTTATCTTTTAATCATTTGTACTTTATTCACATGTCGCTATCGCCAAAAAATATGTTTCTGAAGGAACATTTTCCTGTGTTCTGCAACTATGTAAATTCATTCCTCTATTTATCAATCTACTTATTTAACAATGTTGTCGGGTAAAAGGAGACCCGTACATCGGTTATACCGTGAAGGGCTCGACTTCACACGCAGGTAGTCAGGCTACCAAAGCAGGGTAGCCATCGTGGCTGCAGGGAATCAAAATTGTGATGGTATGTGTCCCGATCATCCACAAGAATGTTTCCGGACTGTCACCAATGGCCCATTTTGCAGCTAAAATGTGACGTAAATAAAGTACTACTATTTCTTATTTTATAGTTATTACGTATTTTATTTCGTAATTATTGCGAAATAAATTTTAAATGTTAAAATGAATATAAGTTTTCTATCTGTACAGGATCTTGCTCACTAACATTTTAACCCGAGAAGACGCGTGTCTCCTGAACGAATGTTCATCTAGTCCAAAATTTAAAGGTTGAAGTTGGCTGGAAAAAGTTTCACCCCCAAATTTTACAATTTAAGCTGTCTTTAACCACCCTTTTTGTACCTCTCCTAATCCCACCACTCTTCTGATTTTGACTCAAGGGGGAAATTCCTTCTCTAAGACAAAAGTACAATAAGATAAAGTAGGACGAATGTCGGAAAGCTACCAGCATCTAATAAACAAATGTCTCTCTATTTTTTTTTTAAAGAGAAGGAAAACTCGCAGCTCGAGCTTTGTGAAAAAATTCGATCTGTTAGAAAAACGTATAAACCGGGATAACGTACGAAACGGACAACATAAAGACGGGGTTCTACTATATATATAATTTAAAAATATAGAGAAATAAAGATTATTGAAAAGAGAAGAAGAAAAATTATTAAAATAATATATTTACAAAAAAAATTTTTTTTAATAAATTTTTCAAAAATATTTTTAAAAATTATTTTAATAACTTTCCTCCTTCTCTTTTCTTTAATTTTTATTATTTTCCATGTTTTCTCTATATTTTTAAATTATTTAATAAGTGTAGTGAAAATATATCTATTTAACAATAATAGTTAAAATTGTGTTCTGTTTCATATTCGTTGTAAAGCACTTCAATGCTGAACTCAAGGACTGAAATAAAAATAAATCGTAGAGTAGATAAATTCTTAAAATACCCCAATAGCCTTTTTTTTCTTTCTTAAAAAAGAAGGTAAAATAAAGAGACATCCATTTGGTATAACCAAATATGAACCTGAATATCACTTTTGATCTAGTGAACGGATTTTTACGTACAGGGACTCAATCTTAATGGAATGAATACTTAACATTAAGTATGCTAATTAATTAGTGCAGGCGGTATATTAGGTTAGCTGACACAAAATAGTACTTTCTCTAAATAGACACATCTTTCTTTCGATGGATTTGGATTCTTGACCCTACAAATACGGAATGTTATCACAAACTGGAAAATAGGGTGTCTTATTTATAGTTCAATCTCTAAAGTGATCGAAAGTTTGGAACCCTTAATAATAATTTTACTTCTTTCGGTATTTTAACATGTCTTTGGAACATTTTAAGCGAATCTAAAAAATTTTGTCCGCAATTATAAAATTAAAGTATCCAAAGATGTATGTAAAAAAAATTTTGAGTAATTATTTTCAATTTTTTATTATTTTATTTAATTATTGTCGAAAACATTTTAAATTTTATTCTATTTTTAAAAAAATCGTGCATTTAAAATTTAATTTCTGAGAACTACCTAAACGGTTTCGTAAAAATTTTACATAAGTAAGATGTCTAAACTCTTAATTGCTTTCCTGACTAAAGTATTGGGACCATACTTTCCAGACTGCGGCTACCAGCCATATTTTGCGGGCCAGAAATCCATCGAAAAAAGGTATGTTTATGTAGAGAAAGTACGTTTTTCTGTTTGATTTCGAAACTTAAAATTACGTTTGCTTCAACTAATCAGCATATTTAATGTTATGCTCACAAATCTTTAATATTGAGGTCCAATGGAGCTAGAAATTCTTTTCGTTAGATAAAAAGATATTTTTAATTTGCTCACTGTACAGCAACATTTTTCGTGAAGAGTTTTTATTTTATTTATTTTTTTAATATGTGTCCACACACGTTTCATTTAACATGCTTTTTTTTTGTGTCCAGATATTAATGGTTCGCAGATAGCTTTTTAAACCATAAGGAAAAATCTTTTGCAGTTTAAAAAAAAAAATAATACCCAAACTCTATCGCTTCATAAAATTGTCGATTGAGCCTTTTTGTTTTAGTAGATTTTCATTACTTAGAACAATATTGTTAGTATTGTTTTAAACAATAATAAAATAAAAATTTCAGAAACTGAATTTTTAAGTAGACAAAAAAATTAGAAAATAATTCCATTTTGTTATTACTGTCTCGTCTAAAATGACAAACGTTTACGTCACTCATGTGTAGGTAGATCTTGATAACGGGAGCCTGTTTTGAGAGCTCGAAACTTGTCCACTTTTATATGAAACAAATGATGATTCCGTTTTGTATTCATTTATAAATTTATCTTTTTGCTTCAGATTCTTGAGAGTATTCAGTTCATTCTACCATTCTTATTTCATTAAATAAATGTAATTCAATTTTGATTCAAATGGAAAAACAGAACTACACCTTTTAAATTCAGTTATTTCCGTTAAACGAGTAGAAACGGAATGTCGTTTGAAAAATGAAGAAATTAACGAAACCTTATACTTCCATAACAATAAATTCTTCCATACGAACTAAAACTTTCAAGACGAAGGATTTAATGCACGCAAAAAGGAGAAAAAAGAATATTGAGGTTTTCAGATTTTATTGATGTAGAAGAAGAGAAAAAAAAAGCGATCAAAGCTGCCATATTTAAACTCATAGAATGCGTTGGCTGAGCTTATTGGTTGTTGCAGTATTGGCGTAATGGGGCGATTTTCGCAACCAGCTGAGCCCCAGCAATTAAGCAAAGGGCTGTGGGGAATGAGAATAAAAGTATTTAGGGTTTTCATCCTGCAGTTGATGATATTTTCTGTGGTAACATATGCTGCTCTATATGTACAGAAATGAAAGGGGTTATCTATATATTATGTGATGATTCTAGTGACTTGTCACGGTATACATGATTTCATCTCACAATGAAATGTATGATTTGTTTTTAAAAAATTCCTGATTTAATTCCTTTAAAAATAATTTGCAAAAACCTTAAATTTTGAAGGGTATTCCTAACTTTAACTAATCTGTGTTTTTTGGTTGCTGAAAATATCGCTAACTGATCCATCTGTGAATATTTATTTAATATTGAAGTTATCCCAAATGATATGTAGTAGAAGTAGTAGTATTTTATTTACGTCACTACTAGAGCTGCATAGTGAGCTATAGGCGGCAGAGTTCGAAACATCTCAGAGGAAGATTCGAATGCTCCCCCCCCCCACACACACAATTTTGATTCTCCGCTGAGAGGAGGAAATCACGGCTTTGATAGCCCGATGACCCGCGTGCCAAGTCGATCACTTTACGGTGGAACAGTTTAACGAGGACCCATACCGCGCTCCCTTGGTCTCTTTACAGACTGATCAAAAAGGTCAACAACCAGTCCACTACTTGTGATCCTAGATTTCGTTGTTCTACTTGGAACCGTGTTTTTACGATCAGCCCAATGCGGGACTTAGAATGTGGGACAATGTGTAATTGAAGAAAAATGTTATTGACAGCACAAGGAAGTCACATCCTAGAAAAATTTTAAAACTGGCAGAAAAAGCTTTAGGAAACAGAATATTTTTAAGCTAATTGTGATTGACCAAAAATATTTGCAAATTAAATATCTGTGTTACAATTGACCAACTGAATTCGTAATATTGCCTTGAAAGTCAAAGCCTATAAGATTTACTGTAATCTCATAAGACAATTGTCACCACTTTTTGAAATTTTCTAGTCCAGATTGTGGCCACCTTGCAGCAGATTGTTAGTAGCATTTTGACGTCTTTAGTGTTTGTAGATGACGTTTTTAATATTTGTAGTATAACATCTGACGTCTTTAGTGTTCGTAGATGACGTCTTTAGGCTCTGTAGTAGAATGTTAGGCGTCTTTAGTATTTTTAGTACAACCTCCGGCCTCTTTAGTGTTTGTAGATGACGTCTGAAGTTTCTAGTATTTGTTGTACAACGTCTAACGTCTTTAATGTTTGTAGACGACGTCTTTAATGTTTGTAGATGACGTATTTAGTGTTTGTAGTTCACCGTCTGACGTCTTTAGTATTTGCAGTGTAAAGTTTGACTTCTTTTTTGTGTTTGTAGATGACGTCTTTGTTTGTAGTACAACGTCTGACGTTTTTAATATTTGCAA